ATTATGTAAATATTACTTATATATTTAAGTAAAAAATACTATATAATAGTGAGTAGACTTAAATAGAAGAAGAAATATTATGTAAATATTACTTATTTATTTAAGTAAAAAATACTATGCAGTAGTGAGTACACTTAAATAAGAAAAACAGAAAGCACAGTAAAGTTTACTTGTGTACCTGTTGTTAGAAACACTTCTGAACTGTAAGTAGAATTTACTTGAAATGTAGGTTGTTAAATTTACTTAGAATTTCTGCGTGGAATATTGTTACCGAGGTTTTTCTAAGTAAATGTCACTCCACTTTTTTTTCAGTGAGAGATGTATCCATAGATCTCTTCATGTTGCTCTCAAAGTGCACCAGATTGATGCTTTTAACTTCAATATTTAAAAATCTTCCCGGGGGAGCTTGCCCCTGGACCCCCCCTATGTGAGGTCCACACACCACCCTGAGCCTCACTATTTGTGTTGGGGGGGCCCAACTTTTTTTTTTTTCCAAAGGGGGGGCCTGACAGAAAAAGTTTGAGAACCACTGGTCTATAGTGTATATATTCTTACCTTTATTCTTGTGTATTTGATAGATATACTCTATATATATAAATACCTTTCTTTTGTTGATCTGTATCTATTTACTGTTTGGTTATTTTGTTTTTGTTTTTGTAACTCGTGCTTTGCTGCGGTAATAAAACGATGTCCCAAGTTTGGATCAATAAATTAAATATGTCAACTTTGTTTATTGTGTGGTTTGTCTTCTTTTATTGGCAATATAATTCCCCTAAAAAGTTTAGGGAGGTGTAGAGAGTCAGCAACCACAACCAAAAAAGTGTAATTTAAGAGGCTCTGGATTATTTATCATAATGTGTATTAACATATCGGTACACATTCTTTTTGAATCAGGATTCCTTTACATGTTCTACAGCAGGGAAATGTAAAGGGTTACAGCAAAAGTGACAGTGCAGATAAAAGGCAAAAAAAGGGTTAGCTGACATTTTATATTTAAAGACACGCAAAGTAGTGAACAACATTATAAAAAGGTTCATGTTTACACATCCATGGTTAAAAATAATAATAAGTGAACCTATAAAGGTGTTGAGATGGTGTATAATGTATGTATCGTACATAACAGTGATAATTGTAGTTCTGATTGAGTAAAGGAGACATTCAACTTCTACTGTGATAACATTTTTTAAAGCGGAAATAGTCAATCAATCCCAATTTAAGATAGACTTTACTGAAACTTTCAGCTAAATCACATGATCTTAATAAGTGAACAGACTACTAAATTGTCTTGCATGTTCAGAACTATAGCTAGTATAACCCTTAGCAATAGCAATAATGAAGTCTCATTCAAGAAAAGCTCAAAAAGAAAACTAACACCCACCGTGTGTGCTGACCTCCAGAGGTGTAACTTGTCACCTTGCTGCAGAGAGCTGTGATGTACAGGTGTTCTCTTAGGCGTGTCACTGTGACATCACTGTGGCTGTGTTTACAGGTGCAACAGACTTGTGACCGCACCAAAACACACTTTCTTATTTTCTTTTTTATAGAGATCCTCCCCTTAGTTTGATAAGATTTACAAATACCCTTTCAATAATCAGAAGCAGCAATCCTTTAATCAACCCACAGCGAAAATGTTTACAATAATTAGTCCAATGTGATTTTTCACACACTTTCTTTAGAAGCAAATCATTTTTAAATCTGAAGATGTCTCCTATTTCACTGTAAAGGCACTTCTCAGAGTTTGTGCACTGTCAGTGTCAGGGTTTCCATATCCTGCTCCTCGGTGAGTTGCATTCTGGATTATGATTGGTTTCCAAAATAGTTTGTGGTGTCACAAAATTCTGCTTATTAAACTCAGATTTAGCCTCCAGCAGATGATTGTTAAAACAAGCTTTGTACAGATTGCTCTGCAGAGTTAATAAATGAATTGACAAGCCAAAGAGTAGAATGGGAGAATATAAACATTTCATATAAAAGTACAAGGTAATGATTCAAACATCAAGAACTTTTAGAAAATCTCCCGAGAGTGCATAAGCTATTGCACATCATCAGAAACATCTCTGTTTGGCAACCTTAAGTTAGGATTGCTTTCTTAAAGGTTGAAAATGTATTAAAGGTATATATGAACAGGCCTTTTTTATGATGTGCTTGCTTTTTATTTAACATGTCTGTAAACTATTTTATTTGGCCTCTTATCGGCACTTAATCTGCTGTTGACTTGTAACGCTGTAAATGTCCCGCTGTGGATGAATAAAGGATTTCTAAATTAAAAGTCTATCATTGATAGCCTTAAATATTGATGTATACATAAATAAATACATGTGATTAAAAATAAAATCCACAGACTACAAGAGCAGCCTTGTTCTTCAACAGCAATATAACGTCAATTATACCAAAGGCAGATAAACCTTCCTTCTAGCTGGAAAATGTTGCTTTAGATGTACAAAGGCATTATCAGCTAAATGACTTAGTATCAAAAATAAAAGTACTCAGCATACATGATTGCTGTTTATTATTAGAGTTATTCGATCTGTATTACCAATCTTCATCATAACACGATGTTTGTCAAGACTGCGTTCATTTCATTTCATTTCAAACCTTTATTTAACCAGGTAAGTCCCATTGAGATCATTGATCTCTTTTTCAAGGGATACCTGCAGCATGTAGGTTCACATGAAACATAAAACACCATAAAACAATAAAGGACATCATACATTGAATTTACAGGGCTACATTTACATACCTATCGACATTTACAAGTACCAACATTATCAAAGAGCATTTCACCAATCCAAGCTTTAAAAACATGCAGTGGAACCAAATTGCTCACTTTCAATTATTGCGTAAGACTGTTCCAAGCAAGAGGAGCGGCGCACATAAAAGCTTTCGTACCTAAGTCAGTCCTTGCACTTGGCACATGTAACAAGACCACATCATGTGATCTCAGACAATAGCTACCTGCAACTCTCTGTGTGATCAGAGAGCAGATATAAGATGGGAGTTTACCCAACATGGCTTTATAGATGAACATGTATCAGTGACTGAGTCTCCGAACAGTAAGTGAAGGCAAACCTGCCCTGGCATACAGGGTACAGTGATGAGTAAGTGCTTTACAATTAGTAACAAATCTCAGTGTGCTGTGATAGGCTGCATCTAACTTGTTCAGGTAATGGGCAGGTGCATTCATATAAATCAGATCACCATAGCCCAGCACTGTTAAAAAGGTCACAGTGACTAGGCTTTTCCTGGCCTCAAGTGAGAAACAGGTCTTGTTTCTGAAAAATAAACCTAGCCTAACCCTCAGCTTTTTAAGCAGGTTATTGACCTGAAGTTTAAAAGAGAGACAATCATCAAGCCAGATACCAAGGTATTTATAACAGGCAACAACTTCAAGTATTTTTCCTTGCGCAGTAACAATATCCAAAGCGGTCTCTGGTGTATTTTTGGCTTTTGAAAATAGCATTACCTTAGTTTTATCAACATTTAAAAGAAGCTTAAGCTCAGAGAGCTGAGTCTGAATAATATTAAAAACAACGTTCAATTTAACAACAGCCTTCTTAATGGAGGGACCTACACAATACATCACGGTATCGTCCGCATAATCATGTAAAGTTGCTCCATCCACATTTTGACCTAAACTGTTGATATAGATGGAGAATAGTGGACCTAAAACAGAACCTTGTGGTACAGTACACCATTTGTAATGTTTAACCACTCAGAAGTGAGCCCATCAAAGTGAACACATTGGGACCTTTCAGAGAGGTAGTTCACAAACCACCCCACTGCATGGCTGGATATGCCAATACTGGCCAGCCTCTGCTTCACGATATGATGATCGAACGCTTTGGAAAGATCAATAAACAGAGCTGCACAACTCTGCTTATTGTCTAAGATACCCGCAATATCATTCACCACTTTCATTGTCGCAGTGATGGTGCTATGTTGCTTTCTGAAGCCTGACTGATATTTAGATAGGATGTCCTTTTTACATAAAAACTCCTTTACATGTTCACTCAATAGGCTTTCAAGAACCTTAGAACTGACAATTTAGAGATGGGCCTATAACTATTTAATAAAGTGCCCTCCCCTGCTTTTAGTAGAGGCAAGACAAATACGCTGACTTCCATATTTTTGGAATTGTCTTCGTGCTGAGGGAGAGGTTAAAACAAGTAGTGAGAGGTTGTGCAATAACATCTGCAGCTATCTTTAAAAGAAAGGTTCTACGTTGTCCGGGCCAGCCGGTTTCTTAGGATCTAACTTGGTTAAAGCTTCACGAACAACATCAACAGAATCCGGACTGCTCTTCCACTTAGCCCTTTTAAATGAGAAGTGAGGTTTGAAGTGCTACCATCATAGTGATGATATCTGTGTGGTTTTGAGGACTAATAAAAAGGTGTACAGATTTGAGGCAGTGTTACACATTGTTTAATTATTTTACAATTACGGTTAATCTTGTGAAATAGCTTGAAGCCGGTCCATGATTTGCAAGTGAGCTAGTGAGCTATATTGATTATATCGGTTAGTTTTTACGCCACAGGAAGGATCTACCTCAAACAGTGCGTGAACATTCAAACTTGTAGCTCGGTGTCTCACTTTTGCATCCTGCTGCCTGTCTATGCTGCCTGTTGTGTTTAAGAGGAAGTATCGCTTAATAACACTGATCAAATATGGATGTTCCTGTCACTGGACATTCTCCTTTCTCTAAGGCAGAGGATCCGAACCTTCTGTGAGTGAACCCATTAATTTCTCTGCCTTTTAGCTTTTCACTCAGTGACAGCTTGCTTTTTAAACATCCTGTTCTTTTTTATTGAGACTGTTGCTTTTGGCTGTAGACTACAGGAGGGACTGCTTAACAGAAAGAGCTCTGATGTGAATGAACGCGGGCTAATGTGTCATCCATCGGCACATTGCACTGCACGACACCACTGCCATCCACCCTGACACTCCTGCACGCACGCACGCACGCACACACAGTAGTGACAAACACACTCTTACTGAAGCTTGTCCCTGCTTATTATATCATCCAGCCAGAGTTGAGGATTAAAGGCAGTCTGTAGTGGTTCCTAACTAAACTGAAAGCATGTGCTCTTTTACACAGGAAAATAGGGGACATATTTAAATGTTTTTAAATGCCCTCATTGTACTAAGCCATATGGTGTAGCTGGGGGTGCATACATATTTAACATTGAAGGCCTTAGGACCATGTCAGACCCCTCATATGGGAAGTTTTTATTATTTATTAAGGATCTAGGATTCACTCTCATTTCCGTTTTTTCAATGTTGTCATTTCAGATTATTATATTTTCCAATGTTAAAGAGGCCGTATTATGCTTTTTTGGGATTTCCCTTTCCTGTAGTGTGTTATAGGTTTTTGTGGTCTGCAAAGTCTAACAATCAAAGTC